CACACACACACACCTTTTCCCCCCTCCCGACAACAATACTGACTTTAAGTCAGAAACCTTTTTTCGCGAATCCTAATACAAGATAATCCTTTAGGGGAACAGTCAAATTGAATAACATTTTATTACTTATTTTACATAGATCGATATTTTAGTATACACCAAGAAAAACGAAACCTTACATGCAAAGAGATTTTAAATAATAATGATATACTTACGCAACGAGGAAGGCATCACCGTTGGCGTCTTTGTTGGCAACGACGGGAGCCCATGACTTTCCGGCGAGATCAGCTTCAGCAGCAGACAGAGACATGATTTTGGTTATAGGTCTGAGGAGGAAGCAGAAAAAATAAAAGAAACATACGTTCGTGGTAGATGACATCAATGTGCTTGATGTAGCTTACAGCGTTTAACTGTGTCATCTGATAGCTCAAGGTCATAAGAAAGCCGTCTTTATTTAGGGATCACTATACAACAAATTTTATAGTATTCTTTCTTTTTTTTTTCATTTTATATCATCTTGACAATTAATCAAGGCGATTAAAATGAGAATTATTATTTTCAAGGGAACGATATTTACTTTAAATGGACGTCGGGGCCTTTTGTTCTTTTATCTTTTTCCAGTCTAATTCTGTGCAGCGTTGAGGGATACTTTCACTAATCAGGTGTACCAAATTAGGCTTGTTAAAAACCTATGGCAAGACAATGCTAAATTACACTGTTCTAGCAATTGTCCTGACTATTTGATTGAAATGATAATACAAGTATTGGGGGCAGGCATAATATTAGCAAAAAAATTAAAACACACTCCGTATCTCAATTTAAGAAATGAATTCTTTTAAGTAGCTTGAATAATGTTTCCTCTATTAGAGGTAGAAATCAATTACAAAATTTTGGGAAAGTCTTTGTACCTTGGTATTTGAATCTGTGAACACGGAACAGCTATGGAAAGATTTTTTTAAAGGATGCTAGCGAGAAGGATTTCACTTACTCCAATGTTAAGCAGTCTAGTTTTCAGCACGCCAATAAAGAGAAACTGCGACCTGACGTCATCCTCGAGTTTTTGTTTTTGTTTTTGTTTTGTTGTTTTGTTTCGTAAGTGTTTTAATACGCTTGCATCTGCAAAAGGTCACATGAGGGCGTGGGATACAAACATTTCCAGTTGGTAGGAAATTTTGAATTTTGCCCTGGTGGCGGCCGAAGCCTACTATTATCAATTTCAGAAACCCAAAAGGATCTTTAACGAGCGCAAATTGCAAAAGAGACCACGAGATTTTTTGCCCTTACCCGAGAAGACCAGGAGTTAGATCTTACATACTATAAGATCAGGGATGTGTCTGAAAGACGGCAGTGAGAAGGAACCAAGGAGTAGCAGTAGAAAGGCTGCAGAAAGAGTCAGGAGTCCAGAGGAGGGGGCAAAGGAGAGGGGGTAGAAAGTGGAGACGAAACCAAACAACACAACATAGCTAGAGAGCACGAAAGGAGGTAAAGGAAAAAAAAATTAGAGAAGAAAATTTTCCGTCGCTGTCAGGTTTCGAACCCGGGACCTATTGAATGAGAGTCGAACACCGTGACCTCTTGAATGAGAGTCGAACACCGTGACCTCGAGACTACGAGAGCCTCCCTTGGTGGTTCAGTATTCTGTAAAACAACAATCTGTCTAAGCAATCACGAAATTTAAGTTGGAGCTTTGTTTTCTTGAAGTGATTTTTCTACCCACAGTCCACAGACTTGAATTACAATATACTAGACTGAGCCTCGTCATGGCCACCGCTCTTTGTTCTCTTTTAAAACTTGGCTGCGAAACGTGCACTCCATGGGCGCGCAATGTGAAGGGCGAAACACCACTGCCAACTTTAGCCCTTTTCCGTTTTATTTTTGAGTCGGGTGAGATCGGCTTGTGCCACGATAGCAGTTTTGTGCACTCAATCTGGCTAGCAATCCGACCCAACCGGACCCGATCCCCCAGTAGGCATCCCGTTTTAGAGTGCATAGTTTGCGATATCATAGTACATTTACTAGTCAATGTCGTAGTTGACGTACGCAGTACACACACCCCTGCTTTATTTCCAGGCCGACCAGTCCTTGCTTCGGATAGATAGAGCAGCAAACCCAAATCGAATTGCTTTTTATATCACATACACTATGTTTTAGTAACAGTTTCTCGCTAAGAAGACATGTGGAAACTTTATTTTTTTTTATGAAAAGATATTATTAACGCTACCTTGACTTTTATTAAGAGGAAAAGAAATTAAAAGCAAAAATAATTTGTTTTTAAATTTTCTTTATCAGAGCTATATATCAAAGTCTTACAACTACAAACAAAAACAAACAAACAAAAAACCCTGAAAAAAATTGCGTCTAATCAAGGAGCACTGAATAAACATATACCTCATTTGCAGCCATGTTGAAACTAATGAAAGATTGTGTGTTCATCGTGCTAGCAAGTTATAACTGTATATACAAACAAAGCGCTCCTACACTGATACCGACAATTCTACATACAATATATTGACGTTTCTTGAGTAAATGTTTTGGCGGAGAGCACGTTCCAATGCCCACAACTACAGAAAGACGAGGACCATATCAAATTTCAAAAAAACTTTTTTTTCTCTGTTTTTCTCTCTACACTTCAGTTATCTTCACAGTTGTACATAAAACATAAAGTGCTCTTCAAGTTGTACAAATTACAACATCTTTTCGTGAGGTAAAAGACGATAAAACTCTAAAGCAACCTTACATCAAGGATAAACTGTAAACAATAAGAGCGAGGCAAGGTGTCGAGAGGGGTATTAAAAATCAAAATATTCTTCATATAAAATGAAATTATAGTATTGACCAGTGAAAAATTTTCTCAGAGAGGAATTACTTTGTATTAAGCAATCAAAAACTAAAGTATGACAATAGTAAACAGTGCACATAGTTACAGCGATACTCTAATAGTTTAAATATCAATTGTTCATTTTCTTTGAGTTACTTTGATTCATTAAAATGTGTCAAGAAATAGAAAATAAAAAAAAACCTGACAGAATGCAGTTTCTTTGCCTAAAGAATTCTGGAATACAACAGGTTTTTTAGAAAGTCTTTTAAAACGTATAAATACCGTTGAGATTTCTCCGCAGTGTAGAGCACAAGGTTTTCACCAAAGTTCGTTTGAGCATGTCCAACGGTGATCTAAGATTTATATAGTCGCTGAGCCCGCTCCGAAGCGCACGTAGCCCTACCCCCAAGCGTCATTACCCAAGGTCACATCATTCAGTTCCAGAACACACCCCCACCCTAATTTCGTTCGGAAAAAAGGAACGAAAAAAACAAAGAAGAAAAACAAAACGCAACGAGCGCCTCCAAACTTGAGAAATACGCTCTCTTTCCTGAACAGCTGTCTGCCTAGAAACGAGCGGTTTGGCAAGATCGAGGACAAATCAGAGCTCCCCTCCCCCTCCCAATAAAAAGCCCCCCCCACCCAAATCCCTCGACTTCCCCTTCTCCCTTTTTCCTTTCCGTTAGAAATTGCTGCGACACCAGACTCCCCAGACAGCCGAATGGAATATTCCTAGCAACTACCTCTTTACCAAAAATAGAATAAACAGGGCGAACGCAGGGGAGAAGGCGGAAAGCAGGTCTTGAGGCGCAGCAAAATGCACCACAATATTGTTTACAGTTCACTAATTGATCGCGTATGTTTTACGCCACGACGTTGCACACATCTATTAGATTTGCAGATTTTAAGACCCGTGGAGTAGACGATGAATTTTTTCGGGGTTTTGTCTTGTTGGCTGTTCTTTTGACTCTACTATTTTTGGTTGCCTTCGTCAGTTTGTCATACTTCTGTCTTACTTCTCTCTCACTTGTAAAAAAGGATAAATTTAACAGTGTATCTATTGCTAGCACATCCATATTCTGAATGTTTTTTACATGTTCGGATTTTTTACGGTGACTGAGCTCTCATCTCTATTTTTAAGGTAGAATCCCCCAGATTCCCTTGGCTTATTTTTTATACCCAGCCATCACGTGCCATTTTTTCTTTCTTTCTTTCTTTCTTTCTTTCTTTCTTTCTTTCTTTCTTTCTTTCTCTTTCTTTCTTTCTTTCTCTCTTTCTTTCTTTCTTTCTCAATTTCTTTCTCAATTTCTTTCTTTTCTTTTCTTTCTTTTCTTTTTTTCTTTCTTTCTTTCTTTTGTTGTTGATATTTTTTACTAGCAGAAAACCCGCCTCACATCGGTGACTTTATTTTTCTCCACTTCACC